CTTTTGTTATAATATTGCTATGGGAAAATGCATTCAACATTTCAGAGGATAGATTCACACAAGGACATTTTCACTAGTACTTATAGTAGTGGTGATGGAATAGCAACTTTCCTCACCCTTAGTGAAGTCCAATATACTTAACATTCCTTTTTGCGTTCTTAAAATGTTTAGCATGAGATGAGGAGGGGGATGGGAAAACTGGTTTGGGTTTTCTTTTCTAAAAGCAGAAAACAATGTAATTAGTGGGAAATTGACCCATAATCTTGATCTTCAAACTCTTTTTCCCTCTTATTTCATTAAGATTGCTTTTTTTTTTTAAAGTAAGAAAAACATGCATAAATAGCCAGACTACTAAATTCTCTTTAATGACAGAAACTAATAAGAAATGGCTCTGGTATTTCATCCAGCCTCTCAAATAATGGCTCTGTTGTTTTGATCTCAGAAGTGTAAGGGAAGCTTTATATTCAGAGATGGGCGTCCCTGTCTTGAGCACCTGAGAGACTGCATTATATATTTGAAAACCATTTTACAATGTCCCCTTCCTAGAGTGTGGGGCCATTGGTGCTTTGATGTGGTTAAGTAATTTAGTACAATCATGTAATAGATTAAATTAGATTTCAGCTTCCTTGAAATTTTTGAAGAATGAACATAAAATGAATGCATCCATAATCTTGTAGCACTGAGAGGATTTCCCATTTTCCTATTTTTCTTTTTTTTTTCATAGCGAGGTGCTGGTAGAGAAGGCATCCTTCTCTTAACCTTGAGTAGAATCAAAAGAGAAATTGCTGAATTTTATTGTGAAGTATTCATGCCTGAGTGAGAGAAAAGAAATGCGTATGGGAAAGAAAGAGGGAGAGATTTTCTAAGATACCGAGGAAGAAGCTGCTTTAAATAAACATTATCTTGTGGAGGGCAGGAGTGCAGGCAAGAGCAAAGACTTTGCAAGGGATTTGTAAACAGGCAGATCTGAGTTTGAATCTTGAGTCTACAATTACCTTGTTTTGTTACTTCATCTTCCTAGGCCTGTTCTCTAATCTGTAAAATTGGAATCACAATATTAAAGTTGAATTGTTAGTGCATGATTAATTGAGATGATACAGATAAAATATGTCAGAATGCTTGGCAGAGTCAATGCTTAATAAAGCGTTCCTTTCCTCTGATTCCTAGAGGGGTTTTGCCTCTAATAACTTTGAGAAATTCATTTGATATTTATAGAACTCCTTCTTTAATATGAATCCTGGTTCTCACTACTGACTATAAAATCTTGGAAAAGATCATTAACTGCTCTCTGCCTCTGTTTCCTTATCTGCAAAAGGTGGACAATAATATATAGTATTATGACCAGGCTATATTCTAGGATCTTGGGGACCCTGGTGAACAAATGAAATGAGGACTATTATAAGATTGAAAGGAGTTAGTAAATGCAAAAGAGTACCTGTTATAAAAACAATCAATAAGGGGTGTTATTATCATAAAAATGAACAAACAATATTTTCTGTAGTCTAAGTCAGCCTTGATTTTATTATGTGTAAAGGGCACTATTATAATTCAGTTTTTTTCCTTCTCACAAATCTTGGCTTTTAACACTATGGACTTGCTAAGGTTTCAAGAGCATTTGCTTCAAGTTGACAAAAGATCCATGTTTTTGTAGTTCATTTAGTCTTTCCCGAGTGGGTCTTTCATGTTTTGCCTTCATTGTAGAAGGCTGTCAGAGGACGTGATTTCCAGGGCAAAGTGCTTTATAAGGGAATGAGAAATACAATGGAGGAAAATCATATCTATCATATAAGGTACATAGTAAGTGTTTAATTACTAATGAGCATTTATAAATAATTATAATGATTTCTTTTAAGAATTTCTAAAAATAACCTAATAAAAAAAGCATAAGTCAAGCAAATGACTTTCTAATGATAGAACCCTTTGGCAATATAGCTTCTTGTAAATGGAGATCATTGAAGGTTAGTAAATATTAATAGAAAACCATGAAACACATACTATGAATAAATAAAATCAAACTGTCCTTGGAAATGGTCATCTTTCTTCAATGGAGAACCCAACAGATAGAGCAGGAGTGTGTTACAGAGACAGAAATTTCACAGGTTTGGTGATCTTCAGCAAATTGATTTTTCCTCCTATTTCTCCAGGCATTCCTTAAAAGCAGAGTTGAAATCAATATTTTGGGATTCTTGTTCAATACAAATATGAAAGTTTCTGAACAATTTAATATCCGAATGCAGAAAGATGCATTTGTTTGTTTTCAACAATGGGAATTAGGGGTCTGATCCAGAATGTGTGCAGTGCTGATGAGTTTCAGCATGTTTCTAGAGTACACTGCTGCTTATCTGCTCAGCAGAAGCTTTTGTGGTCTATGCATTTTATTGGAATGCCATTAAGTTTAAATACCTCTCTTAGCCTGAAGGAATAGAGCTGACCTGAGTGGTAGGCTTGGTGCTGCAGGAAGAAGTTTCTTACTCAAAGCTGAAAATCTTGGTACTTTATCATATGTAGGTTAAATTTGAGCAGGAAGTTTGGGTGTAATAAGTGAAAGAACTCTATGTGTACTTGGAAACTAGAATATGATTTCAAGATTGGGAAAACTGTAGAGAGCAAAGAAGACCAGCAGGTTGTGAATATGTGAAGGGTTATCACAAACATTTACATGGAACAGACATTGAATTCTTTGTTGGCCTTCATGAATCTACTTTATTTTAGTACCTGGAGAGGTGAGCTACATTTTATGGTCTGAGCATGAAATGGACAAAATAGCCATTATTCTTATTTAAAGTCTAGAGGCCTGGTGCATGACATTTGTGCACTGGGGATGGAGGGGGGGTGCCCTCAGCCTGGCCTGTGCCCTCTCGCAGTCCGGGATCCCTGAAGGGTCCTTAGCACTGCCTTGGAGGCAGGAGAGGCTCCCGCCACCGCCACTGCACTTGCCAGCTGTGAGCCCGGCTTCTGGCTGAGCAGCGCTCTCCCTGTGGGAGTGCACTGACCACCGGGGGGCAGCGCCTGTGTTGATTGTCTGCCCCCTGGTGGTCAGTGCACATCATAGTGACCAGTCGTTCCACTGTTTGGTCGATTTGCATATTAGGGTTTTATTATATAGGATTGTCCATTCCACTATTTCTTGTTATCTCTAAAACCAAGTTGTAATCTGTGAGCCCCATTGTGCCTCTTTCTTTTCACCTTTCTCTATAAGGAAATTAATGTATTTGAATTTAAGAATTTTGCTGTCACCTATGCATTGTTTATTTAAAAACAAACAAAAATGAAGACCAGCCTCAAATCCCACTGGCTGTGGAAAACAGTCATTATGGACACTTGTGAGCAAGCAATGCCTTATGCATGAAAATCTCTGATTGGAATGATAGCAAAATCCTTCCACTTTTGTAGGACAGTAAATCCAATGCAGAACGGATTTGAAAGATTTGATGTGTAAATTAGCCATTGAAATCAGAGTGGGTGGGACCATAGTCCTGCAGCATAGGAAAAGCAGTGGTTCCCAAATCTAGTTAAGTATCAGAATCACCAGTGAACGTATTAAAATACAGAAGTGAAACCCACCTTACTGAATTAGTGTCGCTTGGGGTGAGGAACTCCTACCTTTTTAGTTTGCATTTTCTTTATTTTTAACTTAAAGTGCATCAAAATGATTTCTATTAAAGTTTCTCTAAGTGTGGCTTGTAGTCTAGTTGCATTTGAGTCTAGGAGTGAGAGGGTGAGAGTGAAAGTGAGAAAGGAATGCATATTAAAATACAGAGTCCTGAGCTTCACTCCAATCCTACTGAATCTGATGAATGCTTCATGTGGGTTTAATTTTTTCATTAAGACTTCATTTTCTTAGAGCAGTTCTAGGTTTACAGCAAAATTGAGATGAAGGTACAGAGATTTCTCATATAACTTTGGCTCCCTACCATGCATAGCCTCCCTCATTATAAACATTCCCCACCAGAGAGGTACATTTGTTACAATTGTTGAAGCTACATCAACACATCATAATCACCCAAAGTCCATAATTTACATTTTGGTTCACTCTTGGTATTGTACATTCTATGGGTGTAGACGAATATATAGTGACATGTATTCATCTTTATGGTATCACCCAGAGTATTTTCACTGCCCTAAAAATCCTCTGTGCTTCACCTATTCATCTCTCCCTCCCCACAACCCCTGGCAATCACTGATCTTTTACTGTCTCCATAGTTTTGTCTTTTCCAGAATGCCATATAGTTGAAATCATACAATATGTGGCCTTTTTAGATTGATTTCTTTTACTTAATAATATGCACTTAAGATTCTTCTGTCTTGTCATAGCTTGAAAGCACATTTCTTTTAACATTGACTAAGATTCCATTGTCTGGATGAACCACAATTTATTTATTTATTCACCAATTGAAGGATATCTTACAAAATCCAGGTTTTGGCAATCATAAATACAACTGCTATAAACATTTATGTACAGGTTTTTGTGTAGACATAAGTTTCAACTCCTTTGAATAAATGCCAAGGAATGTGAGTATGGTGAGAGTATATTTAGTTAGCAACCACCAAACTGACTTCCAAAGTGTCCATGCCATTTTGCATTTCTGCTGGAAATTACTGAGTGTTCTCATTGCTCCGAATCTTCATCAGCATTTGGTGTTGTCATTGTTTCAGACCTTGGTCATTCTAGTAGGTGTGTAGTGGTATCTCATTGTTGTTTTAATTTGTATTTTTTTGATGACGTGATGTGAAACATCTTTTCATATACTTATTTGCCATCTGTATGTGTTTTGTGATGAGGTGTCTGTTAAGGTCTTTGGACGGTTTTTAAATTAGGTTGTTTTATTATTGTTAAGTTTTAAGGTTCATTATATAAGACGGTTTTTAAATTAGGTTGTTTGTTTTATTATTGTTAAGTTTTAAGGTTCATTATATATTTTGAATTATTCCTTTATCAGATGTGTCTTTTGCAAAAAGTTCTCCCAATTTGTGACTTGTATTCTCATTCTCTTGATCAGGTAATTCTTATGTCAAAAGTGTTTGAGAATTCTATTGTATATTCTCCTGTGTATGGGCCATGGATGGAGGAGATCTGCATAATTTGAATCGACCCTAACAATCAATAGATGGGAACTGTCTCAGCCACAGCAATAGGGAAAGAAGCTACTCAATCCTACACAAGGTACTTGGTAAGTTATCAATATAATCTCATTTTTTATTGATAACCATGTTATGAAATAGATATTAAAATACTCATTATAAAGGACCTTAGTTGAAGTCCTAGAGTTGGAAAAAGTGGAACCAAGATAGGGTTCCGCTAACTGACAACAAAGCTTCATGTCTATCATACGTGATTGCCAGTAAGTCTCTACGTGTAAATCAGTGGAACTAAACTTTAATTTTTACTTCGATATTATCTAGCTCTATGCTGTTAGGTATGTCTCTGGGCTTCCATTTCCTTACTCTTTATAGCTTAAATGTCATGTAAGGGTATGGCTCTATTTTCTATAGTAGTCTTCCTTCTTAAATATCTAATACAATACACTGGACCACAGAAAGAACATCTGTGGGAATAAGCCTATAATCTATGTTCTATTCTCTTCTAGGTACCTTTCTGAAGTCAATATTTAAATGTTTAAAAAAGAATTTTATTTTCCACATGTGTACAGGCAGCCTGAGACAAAAATCTGGTGTGTTGAAGATGCATTGGCATTATTTACTAACTTATATAACTTAGAATGTTCCAAGTCACCTGCCCTTACAATAGGACCATAGATATTAACACCAACAGAATCTCAAGAGACTTATTCAGCGAGACTAGAAAAATAAAAAGTGGTCTCACATTTGCTATGGCTATTTGCCTTCTACATTCCCGGGTAAATGATGTCTAACCTCTGGCACCCTCTGTGTACAGTAAAGGTTAAGGGCCTTTACTTCTAGATGCCTATTGTATTTATAATGCAGGCTGCCTCATTCTAGAACTAACCACTTCTGGAAATATTAGCAGGGGCATTTAGACAGGAGATTTCTGGCAGCTTTTAGAGTCACCCAAACTTTTGCCCACACTGTCCTCACAAGCGAGCACATGACTGAAGCCATGACTTAGATGCATACTTGCATGCCCTTCAATGTGACTAGACTTTTCTGAATGATTTCCTCTGGCCCCTCCAGACTTAGCATTCATATCCCATGTTTTCTCAAGGTCCTTGGCTTGACTTACTCTTTCATCTCCTTGCATCCCATTTCCTTAGCAGTGGCCCTAAAGGATGCTGTCCATGGCCAGCCTTCAGCACTCAGCACTTAGTGGTGACTAAGTGTTCATATCTCCACCTCTCTACAGTTCTCTGACCACTGGGGGATAGGATGGGCAAGGGCTTTAACAAGGAAGAATGACCACATGCTGGTTTGCAGCAATGATCCTTATTTATTTCCTAATCCCAGCATAATTATTGATCTTGTTCCCTTTCCCTTATAAGATGGTCCGGGTTTGAATGATTTAACTTATAGTGTCACTCCATACACAATGTTATCTGTCCCAAGAACATGGTCCTATAGAATCACACCCAGTGTCCAAAAGGCACAGAATTACAAACCAAATAAATTGCTGCCTCTGATGATTTTTTATGTATGATGGAGCTTTCTAAAACAGAGCTTCTCCTAGCACAGTCGCTTGTATAACACAGGCATAAAAATATGGAAGATTATTAAATCTCGTCATTTGTCACATTACCTGGGTTAATGTAGATAGTAAACCTATAGTGAGTCAGCCCAGCATAGCATCTGCTAAGCTCCATGATAAATGAGCTTACCCCATGATAAAGTACATATTTTCCATTTTGAAAGGAAGCCCTAAACTTCTCAGACCAACTCATCCTTTCTGTTTTCTATTGCCTGATTGCCTTACTTACCAATTCTGTGACTCACTTTTTAGATAAAGATTAGTAAGTATTTAAAAAGTCAGAAGATACTATTACAGAAAACAAAGAACTGAGAGTTCTGTCTGTAATAAGTGTTTGGAGCTGAAGCAATCCAAGGTAAAGGAGGAGAAAGCGCCCATGAGGGGAATGTTTGTTTGGGTTTTACAAGTGATGATAATTTATTCAGAAAGAACGGGAGTTCGGGGTGAGTAGGATGGGAAAGATTGAGGGGAGCTCTAAAAGTCTTATTTTGTTGTGAGATGTCTAGCTATAGTGATGGCCTCTGTATTTCAGATGATGTAGGAATACTGCTCTCCCATCTTGGGCCCAAAGGAAATATGTGCTTTTGGAGGCAGACAGATTCCAGGTCTTGGAATGAATGGGAAGCCTTAGAGCAATCACATGTCCTCTGCTTGGAATGCATTCCTGGGGATTTGTGGTCTTTCCATCTGGGCTGCAGGTGATGGTGTGGGATTAGATCAGGGAGGAGGAAAAGGCCCAAGAGGGAATCCAAGATCTTGGCGGGAGCTTTAGCTGGATTAACACGAAGGCAGCAATCATGGCAAGGCAGATGAATTTTTAACTCCCAAGGGCAGCATGCTTGGGTACAGTATTGGGGGCACATGGTGAGGTCTAAGCAATAATAACGGAGCACCTGAGTTTGGACGTGAAGGAGAGCAGAAAACTTCTTAAGCAGCAAAGATTAGAGGAGCCATGCTTAAATACAAAGACAAGAGCAAGGATGAAGGACTAGAGATTGGTCACAAAGAAAGAGACATCTTTGGGCATGAAATTAGCTTCTAAGTTCTTCAGGGAAGATCAGAGTCTATGACCCCTTAAATATTTGAAACAACTTGTAAACAAAAGCCCAACTTCTAAACAAATTTACTATGTTCTACATCGTGACGCAGAAGTGGTTGATTTAGAGAAGGCTGTACTTAAAAAAAGACTGGTCCAAGTCTTATGTCTACCCTTAACTTCTTATATATGTTTGGGCGTTTCATTTTGCCTCTGTTTCTTCACTTAAAAAACTTGAACTGTAAATCTGTGCTGTCTAATATGGTAGCCACATATGATTTTAAAAACTTAAATAAAAAATTCAGATCTTCAGTTACACTAGTCACATTTCATGTGGTCCATAGCTACATGTGTTTAGTGGCTACCATACTGGACAGGGAGGAAGATATGAAAGATTTTCATCTTTGTAGAAAGTTCTTTTGAACAATGTTGCCCAAATTATCTCTAAGTCCACTTCCAGCCTGGATTTTCTCTAAGTCAGTTTGAGAACTGTAAAGAAAGGTCAGGGATGAAGCCAGATGCCATTTATGCCCAACCCAGGAATCCTCTATCTTTGCAATGAAGCTCCCATTGTCTTAGTGGAGGTTTTCTCAGAGTTGAGCCATAGTCCGAGGCTCTGACTCCCCTTCTCCATTCACAGGTATCAAATCTGCATTGCAGCATTGCCTACTGCTTCTACTCCCTTTAACTTGTACAGGCATTGTTCTCAATAAATCACTGGCACTTCTAATTCCATCTTGGAATCTGTGTTTTGGAGGACCTGAAATGAAATGTGAGGAAAAGTTCTTCATGACAGACAGTTAGAATAATCAAAGAATATGACTTCAAGTCATAGTATGAGCAAAATATCTCTTGCTCCTCACCTTCCTGGTCTCTACCTCTGTTTTGCCTATTCTCTTGGAGTAAACTTGATAGTTCAGAGTTCACATTTGATCTCTGGCCGTTACCTTGTGCTTAATAATTTGACCATACCTTAATTCAAGGCCCACTCTCACTCAGGATAAAGATTCTGATTCTCCTTTCCTCTGTGCTCCATGGCCTTGGCCAACTTCCTCATTCCCAGCTTTGGGCTTTGAATACTAGCCCAGGCAAGCCAGTAGGCACCTTCTTGCCTGGAAGGAAAGGTGAAAAAGACTGCAAATGAAACTCAGAACAAGAAAGTGGGATATTCCAACATGTGTAACTTAGATGTGCCAGCCTGGGAGTCTAGTGGAGTTGCAGAAGGGCACCCAGAAGGGTGCAGGCCAGTCAATAGAATTCCTTAAAATTCATCTAGTCTTTGGGGGAGGCTTGGAAAAATAGGAAATGCTCCTAAAAAGGCAATGGTGGAATATGTCATATCATTCACTTTTTTTTCTGTTTAATATTCAACAAGTGTTTGTGCTATGCTAGGTCTTGTTCTTGCTGTAGATGAAAATATAAATTAATTGAGTCCCTGCTGCTCCTGGGGTCCATGGTCTAGACTTTAGACTTGGAACAGGAATTCAGGAACTCTATATGAGGCAGAAAACAAGCAATAGACCTAAAAGAAAACATCCCAGTCAAACTATGGGCAAAAAAGAATTGAAGCTAATACATAGGAGGTGGCTCTGGAGCCACTCAAACTATCCTACTTCAGGTGGCTCTGGGGTTTGGACTTGAGACTCAAGCAGCTCCTGATGGGGGAGAAAAGAACAATAGAATCTGGGAGCTAGGAAGAGTTGAACTCTGGCCTTCCTGGATAGACACTTTGCAGATTTCTGAGTGACATATAAGATTCTGGAGGACTGAAAGAAGTGCTCACTGGGCTTCTGATTATAATTCATCATTCTATAGCAGCTAGTGTTTGTCAATTGAAATATACAGAATTCATCCAAACAAAAAACTTGTACTATAGGCAGGTGTAAAAGGCTGCATGTAATAGAGGCCCCACTTAATAGAGGCATATGTGGGATAAACCTTCAATTCCCTACCCTATACATGTCCTGTTCCTAGTGTGATTCTGCTTTATGAAGTCACGAAGGAAGGACCCAGACTTCTTCTCTCTTGTTGCCCTAACATCCCTAGGTGATGCTCTCAACCACATGGTCCAAGATTGCTTACTACCATGCCTGGATTCCATCCAGAATGAAGGGGGAGAGTGGGAAGAGGCAAACATGCCTTTCCCTTTAAAGGTAGAGCCTGGACATTACACACATCACTTATGCTCAGATCCCACTGGCCACAGTTTACTCTCACTGTCCCTAGGAGAGACCATGTGCCAAGGTGAAGACAATGGATAGCGGTAGTGGGTAATTCCCATCAATCCCATGTACACACTTAATTTACAGAGTGCGGGCCATTTCCAGCACTTTCCTAGGTAGGATTTCTAAACCTCCTTTTTACCATCACGATCCCTCAGACCTACCTCTAGTAATACTTTTTTTTCACCCGTGGATTGTAACTCTGTGTTTTTTTTTGTATCTGTGAGCTTCTTGCCAAGCAGAAACTATTCATTTTATTATGTGCCAAGCCTGGCACAAAGTAGATGCTCAAAACATGGGCTATCTGGCTCAGTTAAATGCTTGGTGAGTGGATGAAATCCTCCAAAAATGAAATGTTACAAAATCCCTGCCTGAAAGAGACATTCAACTCAAGGCACTTATTTTCCCCCTGTGAGGACAGACTGGACTTTTTTATTTTTAGATATATATTTGCAATTTTTGAGATGATTTAAAAAAATCTATTCATATTAGGTATGATTTACTGAAGGGATAATTAAATTTGTGTAGAAGCTTCAAATTTGGCATTCCCAGATGCAAAGGTCACTGTGCATTTCAGCCCCAGGCCTCTCTAAGCAGTCGCTCATTGCATTCCTCTGTGGGTAGGAACTGGACAATCTTTCTGGCTTGGTTATACCAAGTGGAAGTAACATCCTTTCCCACCCCCTGCCACATCAAAGGGGCCCTGGGAGCAGGGAGGAGTGTTATGTGGCTTTTCACTTCAGGAAGCAAGCATAATAATGCTATTCATTGCATTAGCTGCAAAAAAACTATCATTAAGTCTTTGAATGTCGTATAATCACAGGGAAGGGAACCAATACTTTGGAGTTCCAAATATGCCAGGCGCTTAGCGACCACCATCTCGTTTAATCTTCTCAATATTCTATGAGGAAGGTAATTTGAATCCCCATTTTACAGTTGAGAATCATCTTAGAGAGATAAAATAATGTGCTGATGTGGTTCTAGGATTGCATGAGGGTCTGCCTCTCCAAAAGCCTGCACTCTTTCCAGGATGTCAAATGGCCATCCCTTCTATTCCTAGACTACTTTGTAATGCATAAGTTGCCTTTGTAACACCAACTCTCTTGACCTTGACTATTGTCCTGTGAGGTGTGGGAGGCAAGGGTGTTTGGTCCCATTTTGCAGATGATGAACGGAGGTTCACAGATTAACTGACTTGCTGCATATCACACTGCTATGAGAGCCAGAGCAGATCTTTAATTCTAGGGCTCTTTTGTAGAGGTTGTGTAATTGGTAGGAGTAGAGGAAATGAGTTGATTTTTAAAAAAATATCAAACACTGTCACAATAAAGTCCAAGAGAGGTGACCAACTTGTCTTGATTTTCCCAGGACTTTCCTGGTTTAAGTCCAGGAAGTCCTGCATCCTGGGAAAACCCATGGCCCTAGGCCAGTGGTTGGCAAACTGAGGCTTGCGAGCCACATGCGGCTCTTTGGCCCCTTGAGTGTGGCTCTTCCACAAAATACCACGTGTGGGCACGCACGTACAGTGCAATTGAAACTTCGTGGCCCATGCGCAGAAGTCGGTATTTTGTGGAAGAGCCGCACTCAAGGGGCCAAAGAGCCGCATGTGGCTCGAGAGCTTCATTTTGCCAACCACTGCCCTAGGCAATCTGAGAAGGTTGAGTTCTGAGTGGGAACATTTTCTTGAATTACACAGAAATCAATAATTTTTTTTGACAAAGTCATGACAAGGAAACAGCATCATAAAAACACTTGATTTCTGAATAATAATGTGATTATTGTTGGCTCAAAGTTGTTTACTAAAAACATAAACTCCAGTGGGGAATCCATTCAGAGTTCAAGAACTTGCCCCAGCTGTGTCTGGTAATTGTGCCTCCGTCCCATTGGTCTTCATCTTAGCACCAAGACCACTCTGCATCATCTATGTATTTAGCCATTAGTGGTTCTCAAACTTTGTCAATAGTCACATGGGGAACTTATTAAAACCTGATTGCCCCAGTTCCAGAGATTATTATTCAGTAGGTCTGGGGTGGGGCCGGGAACTTATACCTCTAACAAGATCCCATGATGCTGCTAATTTGTGGAATAATCTTTGAATAGTACTTGGTGACTTGGATGGTCCCTAAAGTGTGGGTGTAAGGCAATCCTTTGGGGTATGTGAAGAAGATTTAACATTTATGTATACTTTTATAAAATTAAAACATTTCTAAATAGAAAATGGGATAAATAATGTGTTATTAGTACAGTAGTATATGTAAATAATTTATATGTAAATAAATACACATAATTAGGGTTGGGTGTCAAAAAGAGCTTGAGAGAATTGACTAATCAACTTTTCTCCAATAGGGCAGGTGAGTCCTACAGCAGAGTCACCTCTTTGCATCCGAACCTGCATCGTGGAAGACGAACCTGCATCGTGGAAGACGGTTGGGGCTGTGTTTCCAGCAGGCTGCCCAGGTGATTCTTCTAAACATTGAAATTTGAGGGCCCTGATCTGCATTCTGGGACCCAGTTTCTGATCCAATGGTTTCCCAGGTGTGGTCCCAAAGCAGCAGTAGCATCATGGGAAACTCATTAAAAATTCAAACGATGGGGCCCCACCCTAGACAACCCGAATTGAATACTCTGGGAGTCCTGCCTAACAATCTGTGGTCTAACAAACCCTCCAGGAGAGTCTGATGCCTCATAAAGTTTAAGAAACACTGTTCTCCACAGGAGACCTTCAAGGAAACTTCTAGCTAGTGACTCAGTAATGGGTTATCTTAGAGCCCACTGTTTCTGACTTTTGGACCTACAGACAAGTCTCTCTTGAAGCCTGAATTCCCTGGGAAAATGAATTCCTAGCTACTTTAATCTGTCATAGTATCAAAGATGAACAAACTATGTCTAAGCCTTGCTGAATCTCAGTTTTTTTGATCTGTAAAGTGGGCGAGCCCTGATAATACCTTAATTGTGAGGATCCAATGAGACAATGGGTGATAAAATGGTTTTGTTGATTGTACTTTGAAAATCGTATTTAACTTAAAATTTGAGCTTTGTTTGAATTTCTGATTCACAGGGGTTGTTCATGCCTCTCACCTGATCCATTCCCACTTTCATTTTCTTCTAGTGATGGTAATACTATTTACTGCGTGGCCACTGTCAGACACTGTTAATTCTTTACACACAATTATTGCTAATCCTCACCAGCCAAATCAGTATCCCCATTTTACAGTTAAGGAAACCAAGATCTGAAGAGTTTACAGAATTTCCCTAAAAAATAGAGCTTAGATTTAATTCAAGGTCACCTGAATATGAAACCGACACCCCTTGAATCACAGCACATGAGAATCCTTATTCTGGCCTCATCCTTAGAAGTTGACCTTTGCTTGTCCCTTTTGGATCCCAAGTTCCCTGAGGGTAGCTTGTCTCCCAGGCCCTGAGCCCTGGTTTGGACATGGCTGCAAGGGGCTAGCAGTATCCTGCTGGAGTCAGCTGATGCCAGGGGCACACAAGAGTCTGTAAATATCACTGCTTCACCCCAAAGCAGTCACATTTCTGCCTCAAACCCCACCTGAAACTCTGCCTTTTAAATAGTATGACTTTCTATTTTCAGCACATGCTTACACAGGCTGCCTTAGGAGCCTGTCTTATCTGTTTGCTTTTATATTCATAAAGTGGTGCACTGTGTGCTATAGGTGCTGTTGGTTGCTACCCAATAGCCACTCCCCTCCTCCTTGTTGCAAGAATCTGATTTGTTCAGCCACTTTCTCCTTTTCCCTGGGAATCAGAAGCACTCACCCCCATTCATTGCAGCTCTGTTCTTCTTCCAGTTGTTGGTTTAGGAAGGGCATATTACATAGTAATGGCCAATGGCTGAGAGGAGAAGTCTTCTGAGGGCTTTTGGGGAAAAGTTCTTCACTGACAGAGAGACATATAAGAAGGTATGCCCCTGTTTCTTTGCCACATGACATTGTTCTGCTTGTGGGTTCTTTGAACCATGGCAGCTGTGTTGTGTCTATGAAAAGAGCTAGAGTACAATTCTTGAAAATCTGAGCCAGAAGGGGTCTTGGACACAGCCATGTCCAAGAACATACTACTTCTTTTTTTCTTTTTTAGATAAAAAGAGCCCAAAGAAGGTAAGTAAGTTGTCCAAGGCACCTGCTATGGACTATATGTTTGTGTCCCACCACAATTCATACTAGTATATTGAAGTCCCACTCCCCAGTGTGACTGTATTTGGAGATAGAGTAAGGTTAAATAAGGTCATGAGGGTGGGTCCTGATCCAGTAGGATTAATCCTATATAATAAAAGGGTAATATGCAAATTGACCCTAACAGCCGAATGACCAGAATGACCACTTGACCAGTCACTATGAGGCGCACTGACCACCTCTCAGTTTCTTTCCCCAGCTGTCAGGCTCCCATCACCTGATGGCACATGGGGAACTGGGGGTGGGTGGTGGGGATGTGGGCGCCAGGCCAAGGCCCTCGCCCCACTGGTTGCCCCACACACAGAAGGCGACCTGCAGTGGGGGCAGGACTGGTGAGTGGGCGGGAATGGCCACCTCTCAGTCCTTCCCCCCCGGCTGGCAGCCTCTGATTGCCCAATGGTGAACAGGGAACTGGGGGTGGGTGGCAGTGGGGGGTGGGGCTGGCTGCGGGCAGTTGAGGAAAATGGCCCTGATTGCAGGCCAGGCCTACTGACCATACCCATGCACGAATTTCGTGCGCCGGGCCTCTAGTGTCTTTATAAGAAGAGACATCAGATAGCCCCCCTCCTCTCTGTCAAGTGAGGACACAGTGAGAAGGTGGCTGTCTACAAGCCAGGAAGAGAGCCCTCACTAGAAGCCAAATTGGTCAGCACCATGATCTTGGACTTCTCACCCTCTGGAACTGTGCAAAGTAAATTCCTATTGTTGAAGCCACCCACTCTGTGATATTTTGTTATAGCAGCTAGAGCAGACTACGTCAGCACCTATATATTGCTTGGCTCTGTTGCTTTAAGCCGACCTGTCCGTACTTGCTCTGCTACTGGCTGTGTGACTAGGGTACATCACACCTTCTCTCTGAGCCTCTTTCTAACATAGTAACAAAGGGGTAATGATTCCTCTTTGCTCACTTTCTAGGCCCATGATAAAAATAGATGCTGTGACAGAAGTGGAAGAGCTTTTTAAATTGCACAATTTCAAGCAAAAAATATTTTTTAATTATACTAGACACCAAATATATGTATATTGAGGTGAAAAGCGCTATACCCAGGGTGTTAACAGGCCTTGGTAGTGGGTTAAGGGATTCAAGTAGAAAAAGAGAGGAAAGGAAGGATGTTAGAATGCAAAACTGCTGGTGTTTGGGACACTGTTTGACAGACACTGTGCTAGTCATAGTGCATCTATTATTTTGTGTCATCATCACATTAACCCTGAAAAAACAGGCGGTTTGGTTATTACCAGTGAAGAAACTGAAGCTGTGAAACACTCAGTGTGCTATTGAGGTAATGGGTGGCTGAGCAGGATTCGCACCTTCATTACTGGCTCAGCACCATGCTCTTTCTGCCATACCAGGCCATGAGCCCCTCCAGAAACTTGAAGGTGTCAGTCTGAACGACCCAGTCTGAGATCCTGCCTCTAGCAAACCAAGGCTCGCCTTTTCCCTCAGGTTCTGACCTGGCTAAACAGTGGGACTGTACCAGTCAAGGTGTGGTGGACAGTGGAAGAAGGTTCAGAAGTCATCATGCCAATGATCCTGGTGACCAGCCATAGCCACCTCCTCCCACCCTATCAGCTTAGTCCACAAAAATCCTGATATGGCCAATTCTTCATGTTTGATTTGGTGCCTATGTCATGTAATTTGCTTTTGTTAGTTATATTTGGTCTCCAAATATGAGTTCTGGGATGAAGGCAATAGGAAATAGAGTCTGTGACTTCAAGTCAGACAGGCCTGGGTTCAAACGCAGGCTTTACCAGCACTCATTTGGTGGCCTTGTGCAAGTTTCTTCCCTGTCTCAGTTTACCCACTTGTGACATGGGGACAACACCTGACTCATAGGATTATTATATGTAATGATGTTGACTGTAGTTTTTCCATATAGTAGATATAAAAATGATAGCCATTCCTTAAATTCATTTATAGAAAAGAGAAGCAAATAATTTAACTTTTCCTTTTTCCCATTAGTATTCTAGATCCTACAAGTCCAGCTACTATCTTTTTTTCTATCTCGATACCTTTCTCATTTGTACTCAAATTAGCCTTTATTTCCTACAATTATATTCCTTTCAGGTTCTTTTTCATGTTTTCAATGCTTTCCCCTCCCAGCTCGGTTTATCATTCCAAATGGATTCTATTATTCTCAGCTTCTCTCTCCAGCCTCCCCCTTTCCTCCTCCCTCTGTCCATTCTGCAACAGGGACAGTTTCACCTCAGAGTTCTTATAGGTTTTCATACAGACAGTTGTGTCTGCCCTGAGTTTGCCTCCAGCTCCCTTCAGTATGTATCCTGTTCCTGGAGTTGTTGTGGCCGAAACACTGGATTGTGGAAGCGACTCCCCATGGCACCCACGGAGGTGCATCTGGCTCCTGCAGTCAGTAGCCTCTGAGGCCCTGCAGTGCATCTGGTAGAAAATGTTTTTGGCCAACAAGGAGCTCAATTATCTATGCACTCTTTCCCCCAATCTCTCTTTCAATCTGTTAAAAACATCCAGATTTCGTGGGTTCCATTTAGGATGGAAAACTGTAATCACCTGGGAACTCCTATAGTAAAAACCTCTGCTGGCTTCCCATTGCCCATGGAGGAAATGCTAAAGCTCTCTGCAGGCAATCAAGACCCTCACAGTCCAGCTCACATACAGCCTTTAATCAGGGTTCTTAATCTGGGGTTGGGGAATCCCTTGAAGTTTCAAGCAGAATTGTTTGTATACACTTTTTTTTTTCCTGGATAGAAAGTCCAAAGCTTTCATCAATTTCTCAAAGAGAGCCCAAAATCAAAATGATTAGTGCCCATTAATCCATTAGGCTTGTCCTTGAATCAGGTAATTGCCACATCAAACTCTCATTTCCATAGCCTTAGTTCCAAGCGTCTTTCCCTGCTGTGCCCCTACCTACTGCCTTCCTAGCCCACATCTTGCACCTTCTCTCAATTTCCTATTTGCTGTTATCCATGTTTCCTCTTTATAGCATTGTCCTGAGCATCAAAGCTGGCCATTAGCTTTATTTTCCTGATAATGACTTAGTTTGTCATTAATAATACTTTCCTGATAATGTCTTGGTTTGGCCTGCCCTCAGAAGCAGACCCTGGGACTAAGTCAGGTATAGATGGTGAATTTTGAGGATGATCTTAGAAAACCTGAGTAAGGGAGTAGGGAAGTAAGACGGTAGAAAGAAGCTGATAGAAAATCATTATCAAACAAGTTAAAGATGTGGGCAGCCAGAGTCTGATCCTGCTGGGCAGCACATGGCTCAGGGTTTCCCTACCTGAGATAAG